TGCGGCGTGCATCCTCAACAAGCTCCGTGGTCAGGTTCAAGTCGCCGCCGTCAAGGCTCCCGGGTTTGGTGACAACCGCAAGTCAATCCTTGGGGATCTCGCTATCCTGACTGGCGGCACCGTGTTTTCGGATGAGCTCGACATCAAGCTCGAGAAGGCAACTCCTGATCTGCTAGGCACTACTGGCTCAGTGACCATCACCAAGGAGGACACGATTCTGCTCAATGGTGCCGGTACCAAGGACATGATCTCGCAGCGCTGCGAGCAGCTTCGTGGCGCCATCGCGGACCAGTCCGTCTCCAGTTACGAAAAGGAAAAGCTGCAGGAGCGTCTAGCCAAGCTTAGCGGCGGTGTTGCTGTCATTAAAGTTGGTGGCGCGTCGGAGGTGGAGGTAGGTGAAAAGAAAGACCGATTTGTCGACGCATTGAACGCGACGCGCGCGGCGGTGGAGGAGGGCATTATCCCCGGCGGCGGCACGGCGCTGCTCAAGGCGACAACGGCCTTGGACGCGCTGAACGCGGTCAACTTTGACCAGCAGCTCGGTATCAACATCATCCGTAACGCAATCCAGCGGCCGTGCCGGACAATTGTGGACAACGCTGGCGGTGAGGGGGCGGTGGTGGCCGGTAAGCTACTGGAAGAACACAGAGACAACTTCAATTACGGATACGATGCCGCGGCGAATGAGTATGGTGATATGATTCAGCGCGGCATCCTTGATCCGCTCAAGGTGGTGCGCACAGCGTTGGTGGATTCGTCGGGCGTGGCCTCAATGCTGACGACAACGGAGTGCATTGTTGTGGACTCGCCAGAAAAGAAAGAGGCTGGTGGTATGGGAGGCATGGTAAGTTGATGCATTTGCCTTTTTTGCCGTGCAATGTGCTCGATGAAAACGCTAACTCTATTTGTATATACGAATTTCTAGGGCGGCATGGGTGGTGGAATGGGTGGAATGGGGATGATGTAAAAGGAACACAAATGTCTTACAATCCCAAAAGTAGTTTAAAAGAAAAAAAGGAAACGTATAGATCAGCGCATGTTATGAATTTCTCAATAAAAGGAGACTAGTTTTGTGCCAGGGAGCACTCGTGGCTTTTGAATTTCGATGGCTGGTGACATCATTCCACCCCATCCGTCCGTCATGTGAAATGGATTTCAGCCACGAACCTTTGCTCAACATTCTTGACCTTATCTCTCTCTCTCTCTCTCGCATCCCATCCCTTGTAAGCTAAACAACAACAGCAATGACTACCTATGATCCTACCGCCGCCCCCGATACTATGCCTACCCTCAAGCTCTTGCTCATCGGCAACTCCAATGTCGGCAAGAGCTCCTTGCTGCTGCGCTTCATTGACGATGCATTCCTGCCCCAAGACGAAGTGAGCGCCACCATTGGTGAGTTGTAGTCTTGGCTATCCGAAAACGTTCTTTTATTCTCCGACAGATTTTCGAAAGATTACGCACCGTATTTTGGAATTTGGAGGCCAGCGTCACGTTTTACAAGTTGCTCAGATAGACCGTTATATTTTATGGCATAATTTATTGGCTGGCTCGTGGAACTGTGCGTCATGAACAGGCGTTGACTTCAAGGTCAAGATGATTGAGGTTGATGGAAAAAAGTACAAGCTCACTATTTGGGTATGTGTCCAACGCTTTACTTGTGGCGGTGAAGAAAAATCGTATTTTAACTTTCCGTATCGGTTTACCTTTTTATTTTCCTTATCATTTTTTAATATTATTATTATTTGCTTTTTTTTTTCTGTCCATTCTGTTCAATATGATAATATATTAGGATACTGCCGGTCAAGAGAGGTTTAGGACATTGACGTCCTCTTACTACCGCGGTGCTCAGGGTGTCATTTTGGGTGAGCTGATCTATATTTACGCAATTTTAAAAGAGGTCGAGTGGCGGAATTTTTATGTTTTATTTTATAATTCTTTAGTTGGTTTATGCTGATATTTTATCTTTTGTATCGATTATCGCTCTGGCTTTACCTTTTCTCTTGAAATATCAACTACAACCATCATTCCCGTAATGACTTGTAAAAGTCTATGATGTGAGCAACCGCGAAACCTTCGACGCCCTCAGTAACTGGTTCACAGAACTCAACACATACTCTTCGAGCAAAGACGTCGTCAAGATGATTGTGGGCAACAAAGTTGACAAGGTATATGTCATGTCCAGCCGTTCTCTTTGTGCAGGATTTTAAATTGGGGGTTTTTTCACAAAGGGCGATGCGACGCGAAACAAACTTCTGTCAAGTCGTGTGTGATCCCTCTGGAGACCACCAAAATTTCGCTGGCCCTGTTTAGCAGCATATCTCTTTACATCTCCTACTTATCGTTGATAGATATTGGGCATTGATTGGAGGAATAGCGTGGAACAAATCGAAGAAAACGCAAGGTGGCTACGAAAGGGAAGACTGGGGGGAATGCTAGCGTATGTGCGGGACCACAAAGGCAGGAGCTATACTTATATGCCCCGCTTTGTCAGATGACACCGGCAGCTTTCGGCACGGAACGACCAAAATTCAGCACGTGTATCAAATACTGAATGCGTATACATACTGAACGTTAATATTACCAATATACCGTTCCTGTTGCACTTATTTTATTGTTCACAGGAATCGTCGCGTTTGGTGACAACCAAGGAGGGTCAAGCGATGGCCCGAAAGCTACAGACTTTGTTCATTGAATGTAGCGCAAAGACGAAGTTTGGCGTGAAAGAGGCTTTTGATGAATTGGTTCAAAAGGTATGGAGTGGGGCTGGTATCTCTTGCTCTGCCGTATCTGTTTGATGATGAACTATAGTGAATTAATAAATTATCCCTTTCTCTCCTTCATAACATGACCCAGATCATTGAGACCCCAAGCCTTTGGCAAAAACAACCAACTCCCTCTAATGTCATCCGTGTGACGTCCGAATCGACCACGGACCCTGGCTCATGCTCTTGCTAAGAATTTCTAATTTCGCGTTTGAGTGAGATGTCAGGCTGCTGGAGTGTATGGACGTACACAATGTAGTAAACATATCCACTTGTCATTCTGAGAATTCTGGAGGACGATTAGGGAAGCGGTAACGATCCGCGAAACTTTGAATTTTTGGTTTCTCTTCATATTTTCTTTTATTTTTATTTTATCATTTTCGGCATCAACACTCTGCCCAAACCAACGACCTGGTGGCGATCATTCATATTCTACCTAAATTGACTTTTCGCTGCTGTCTTTGCTCACTTATACAATCACTCTGAGCGCACGTATTTCGATGCGCCGACATGACGCGGCTTCAGCCTCAATTTTGTATTGTATTAATGTCGCTATGGGCCAGGTCGTGTGTATTTTTGATTCATCCATTCGACTGTGATCGTGTTGTCCATAATTCTCTTGATTTGCTTCTGACCTTTTTTTTTTTTTTTTTTTTTTTTTTTTTTTTTTTTTTTTTTTTTTTTTTTTTTTTTTTTTTTTTAAATATTTTTTTTTTTTTTTTTTTTTTTTTATATATTATTATTATGATTAGCTTGATACACAGAAAATTTCTTTTTTCTTTTTTCTTTCTTTTTACCCTTCTATGGGACTGGTTGTCCTTCTTTTATATTTTTGCTTTGGAGTTCGTGCATGACCGTGATGTACATTCATACATTTGCATTACTTTTCAATACACTTTTTTTTTTTTTTTTTTTTTTTTTTTTTTTTTTTTTTTTTTTTTTTTTTTTTTTCTTGTCTTTGTTTTTTTTTTTTTTTTTTTTTTTTTTTTTTTTTTTTTTTTTTTTTTTTTTTTTTTTTTATTTTTATCATTATTATTATTTCATGACTTTATAGTGATGGTTCGTCCTATCATAATCGACTGCAGTCTTTGCAGCAAAGGCGTTTCTCTCCCGATTTGATCTATGTCGACTAGGTCTTCACTCCCCATCTATAAATCATGTGTGCAAAGTGATTTTTGTACAATCATTTATGCGACGTGGCAGGTGATCATTAACTTGCAGGTGGTCAGTCTAGCGTATCAAACTGGAATACGATATTCTTAGGATAAATACCGTGTCTCAGTTGCTATGTCACTATCTTACCGAAATTTACTCACGAGCGGCATAATCCACAAATGGATGGGTTGGGCATAGCCGAGATGGATGCACTCCACATTCACGCCAACACTGATCTGCTTCCGAGAGCCGAAAACCTTTCTATCTGTCATGTTACTGATAGCATAACCGCAAGCAACTTCTCAAAACTGAATTTTCCCTTTTTTCAAGCAAAAAAATGGCCAAGTCGCCTTCGTCCTCCTTGGCCGCGCCGTCCAGACCCTTCTCAGCGCCGCTCTCCCCATCCCCGAGCTTCCCAAGCAGCACGCTAGTTTGGCAGATGCGGTGAATGTGGTGGCTGCTGCCCCTACGTCGCCGATTGCAATACCGCATGCAAAACAACAGCAAACCTACGAGAACTGCAACCACCTTTTATATAACGTGTGTAAGGCAATGGAGCCTGCGCTGGCGACGCTGTCAAACGATTTTTGCATGCATTAATAAGAGTATGGAAAGGCCCATTCGACGGGACTACGGTTACCAGATGTGGCATTCCCTTTGGCGGGTGCGGGTCTACGGCTGCGACTATGGCACCGGCTTCCCGAAATGTAGTAATCGGATAGATGGTAAACTACTTTTTCCAAACCTGATGCTCAACTTTCAAGCTAACTACTATAAAGACCAAAGAAAATGAGCTAGGAAGCAAGTTCTTTGGGAGTATGGTATTCGGACTATGCATTGTTAGGCTGGAATGAAGGGTCTGAGAGACGAATGGGATATTGATGGTAAGGATGCTTTTCCCAGAGGTAACGAAAAACAAGCTTTCAGTCGGTCACCGCATTTATATGTAATCTTTCTCTTGTGGAATAAGTGCAGTACACTATAGCAGAGACTTTGTTACTTAAGAAATAACAATTAGTCTGACTAGCTACTATGCAAACTAATGAAAATGTAATAAATATTAAAAATATCGAAATGATAGCCTTTATGGCTCAGTGGTAGAGCGTCGCTCTCGTAAAGCGAAGGTCGGGTGTTCGATCCACCCTAAAGGCAGCAGAGTCCTTTTTTTCTTTTTTCTTTGTTGGAATGCAGAATCAAATAAAATATAATATTCTTGACATTTTCCACTATTAAAATCGGGATATATTGTACATTGAATATGGACCATGTGCAAGCATTGCACAAAAAAGTATGGTTCACAATAACGCTAACTTTGAAGCACTTTAGAGCCCAAACGAGTATGAGGCCCACCCGATCGTGCTTATATTCAAGTCAAATACTTTTTTGGCTCGGTCGTCGCCCGCCGCTCCGGCGGCGACGTGAAGCGGCACCAGATGCTCAAGGGTTGGGTGGCACTTGCGTAGTTGCGGATGGGTCTTGAGAGTGTTAAGAGCGTCGATGCGGGCGACACCCTGTGGCGATGGGTTAAGGTTAAGAAATACACAAGTATTTACGTGTGTGGATATTCGGAAATTCGGCTGGAGAAATGTGTTGATGGGAGACTTACCACATTTCTAATTAACATGTTGGTGAGGTCTTTGTCAAACTGCTCCACATATTTTGGCGAGGGTCTGTCCATACCGTATTGAAACATGTCACGGAGGTTGTGAATGGCGGAGCCGCTGCCAATGATGAGGATGTTCTCGTCCCTTTGATAATACAAGCGGTTCAATTAGATTACGGAGTCGCTTAACCAAATAAATGATAGAATAAGCTAGTAGTTACCGAAGCGGAGCAAGCACTTCACCCAATTCAACGTGTACTTGTAGGTCTTCGGAGTGGTAAAGAGATACTTGGACGATTGGTATATCAGGGTTCGAATTCATGGCGCGCTTCAAAGGTACCTGTAATTTCAAGAACCAGAACGGTTGAGATTATTACTCCGAAAATTACACGAATAATGCCAAGTGCCTTCCTACAACCCTCATCGACTATGCACTTACCCAGGTACCGTGATCATTGCCCCTCGTCTGTCCCTCAGCGTTAATGCCCGCCTGGTGTACAACATTTTATTTATTCGTCGCGCGATATAGGAAACATTTTGAGAGGGGCAATTGGTACACACTATACCTTTTGAAACATATCCAAGATTCTGTTGGCAAGCTCGGGTGACCCATTGTGATCCCATTCTTGAGTGTAGTAGTGTCGAGGGAAACCCCCGAAATCATATATAAGTTTGGGCTTCGAAGACGTGTCAACTAAGGATAGACAAGATGGCATTCTCTTGTTAGAAATACAGAGCAATTTGGCAACGTCAAAAATAAGCACTGAACCTACCATACACTTTGCTAGTTGTTCCTTGCCAGTGCGCGCTGAAAATTACGATTGCCTTGGGCTTAATTTCTTCCTGGATTGTTTTGCCGAACCACTCGTAGAATTTGCCGGGCTTTTCGGTGTCATCAAGGAGATTGGGTCCTTATCGTTTGAAAATGGTGCATGATCCGCTTGGAGTCAGTATTGATGACAGGATAGGTTTATCTGAATAAATGAAAGCCCCAGCTGTCGAAAGCACGATGAATGATTATATAAAAACAGGATTTCGAGCAATCCCTGTATACCTCCGTGACTGATAAAGAAGACGGGGGCCTTCTTTGGCTTTGGTACAAGGACAAATTCCTGCGTAGTCATGGTGGGGTTGGAGGAGGGTGTTTGCAAAAGATGCCCCGAAGACGCACGTAGAAAATTGTTGGTGCGAAGAAGGGACTATATACTTAATATACTATGACCATTGCACGTGCTAGACATCACGAGGGCGGTTATAAATCGCTAGGAGAAATTATTAAGCAGTTTGTTATATATACAAATCTAATCACTTACGTGGAACTGTGACCATTTTTAGAATAGAGCATGTATATATAACCTCATACATCCCTTTATTTTTTTCTGAAAGTATCGTCTCAATCATCTACCAACACACCAACAACCATGGCCCAATCCACCCTCACTTTCCTTATCACTGGCGCCAGCAGAGGCCTTGGCCTTGAGTTTGTTCGCCAACTCTCGCAAAAAAACCACACTATCTTGGCCGGTGTGCGCTCTCCCGCGCACGCTGATGAGCTGCAAATTATTAGTTCAACCTTTAGCAACGTGCATGTCTTTCAAATCGATACCGCTGATGATCAATCCATCAAGGTACGATATTGGTTACAATGAAAGATCGGACGGCTATGGTAATTGATCTATTTAACACCGTGACATTCACTACCAACAGGCCGCCGTGGGGGAAGTCGAAAGGCTATCCCCAGCTGGAATTGATATCCTGATAAACAAGTATGTTATTTTGGGTTGTCCTCCCCTTTTTTTCTTTTTCTTTCTTTCTTGGAAAGTAGAAAAAGAAAGAAACAGGCCCGCTCAACTTTTCTTGATTTCTTTTCTTCCATATAAAATATAGCGCGGCTATAGGCGGGGTAGGCGTGAATTCGACGACAACGTAGGCTACATTAAACTGCTCAGTCCTGAAACCATTGTTGACCCGTATATTAACTCTAGCAAAAATTTTATGGTTGGTAATGTATATAGACCTAAAGAGGACCTTGAACAAGTCTTCACGACCAACGTGGCGGGGACCTTGATTGTCACAAATGCATTCCTTCCAGCCCTTCTCAAGCGTCCCACAAGGAAGATTATCAACATAAGCTCCAATCTTGGTTCCATCACCAGGGCATGGGCAGGTGTAAAAACCAGTTATAGAGTTAGCAAAGCTGCCCTAAACATGCGTACGTATTCAAACCTCGCTGTAGCATCTTGCTCATCGGGCATGTGTGTCATTGATTGCTTGTATTCTCCGAAAACCTACAGTTTAACACGAATGTCAATTTTTATTTTCAACCTAGTAACGCGCTGTTACGCGCTCGATCTACTTTCGGAAAAGTTCACTGTGCTCGCATTGCATCCCGGGTGGGTGCAGACGGACATGGGCGGAAAGAGTGCGAGTATTTCACCGCCAGAGTCCATTAGCGGAATGTTGCAGGTGATTGAGAAAGTTACTGCTGCGGACAGCGGTAAATTCTTAGATTATCAAGGATCCTCGCTGCCGTGGTAAATGTACGCCATATGGCATTGAAAGCTTTCTCTGTATCAAACGTATCGAATTCCAAATGTGAGCCCCGTTGACACGATCGTCGGATACGTAGTTTCCTACAGCTATAAGAGTCGGAATCTTTGTAGAACTTACAACTCTGCATCTAGAGACCTACTTTTATTGTAACAAACAAATATTTTCTTAATATGTCTATTAGAATATTAAAGTCTTCCATTATGAGTATACTGTTGTTTTTGAAGAGTAGTTTGATCCTACTTAAGAGGGTAAGAATTGGTCTTATAATAATGAGATATATTAAAAACTAAAGATCACACTACTGAGAACTCTTAAATTGATGAAAGCACTATCTGTTTATTATATATCCTTACTATGTAATAGCTACATGCTATACTTATTTAGATTTTACTATAATCTATCACTGAGATATTTCAAAGACTCCAAAAGAACTAACTTTACTTGATAGGAAATAGAGGGGATATTTATATAAATATTGAAGGGTTATAGATAGCTTGCTAAAAACTACTTATTATGAATTGATTAATAATTTCAAGTAGATAGAAATATAAGCTAACTAAGAGAGATAAAAGTTCAAATTTAATAGATTAGAAATTTGAGTAATTTAGATATATTTAAATTATCTATTATAATATAAAATATAATATATACTATTAGTTTTATAATAATATATATAATTTCTTTATCAATGTCAGTATACTTATATTATAATAGATATATAATTTTTTATTAGAGTAAAGAGAATCTATATAAAGGTTTAATTATAAGTAATTAATTTTAAAAAATAATATATTGCTAGTTTAATTCTAATATAATTAAATATCTAAAATACTCTGACTTTAATTTAAATAATAAAATATATAAAAATATTATTGTAATATATAATAGAAGATATAAGTTATTAATAGTATTATCAGAATGGTTTATATTTCTAGTAATTCAATCTAGCAGTAATTGTAATAAGACTTAATTATCTTAATATATCAATAGGTCTTTTTTTTTTTTTTGTAATTATTTAATTATCACAATTTCTTTAAGGAATTTCAAGTTTAAATAGAAACTATATATAGAAAAGATATTAATCTAAGTACTTAAAGATTGAATACCTAGACAAAGTCTATACTTGACTACCAAGTTATATAAACAGATATAAAATCAGTAAAAAAAACTTTATAATAATTATTACATAATAAAACTTAATAAAAAATGAAAAAATTTATATATAGAGAGGTTTACCTCTATCTATTTATCCTAGGTATTAATTGCTCTATAAGAAATATAATAGCTAGCCTACTCTATAGAAGAGACTTTATAATAATCATGAAAGCCTAGGTGGAGGTACTATCTTAATTTATAAATATTTTATATTTGATTATATATTGATATATAAGCTTCAAAATGAATAAATTAAATATATAAGATTAAATAAGTATATTATTAGGAAACTATTTTCAGTTCATAGTCTATAACTAGCATCTGTACTCTTAGACTATTCATAGGCTGTTCACAGGCTGTTCTAGCCAGTTCATAGTTTGTGATATTATTCTAGAGGTGTTTATGATTTGTGATATTGTTCTAGCAGAGTTCTAAGGTAGTTTGCAGCTGTTTGCCAATAATAGTTTATAGTCTATGACTAGCATCTATATCTATAGCTATTTTGTTTATAACTCTTAATAAAATAGTTTACAGCTCTTAGTAAAATAGTTTATGAATTAATTAACTATTTTTCTGATAATCTTTTAGAGTACTGAATATAGTATTTATTAACTAACTTATCTAGCCTATACTTCTTTTATTAGCTCTCTATCTAGCTCTATAGCTTTCAATAAAGATAGTAGAATTTTAAAAGATAATAAGAGTAAAACTATAAAGCATAAAATTTATTAATCTTATAGTAGAAGAATATTGAATCCTAATACTTCAATCAGTGGTGAAGAGTGCTAAGTAAGTAGAAGTACTTTAATATATAGAGGCTATATTATAAATTCCTAAATTT